GGTAAGTTGAAGTGAATCTGAAATAAATTGTTCCAAAGAAATAGTATAACATTTCCCAAGCACATTTCGGTTTCACAAAGATGCAAGGAGTTTATTTATGTGACAAAAATTTATAAAAATTGTGTTAACAACCTGCGCCGAAGCGATTTATGTGAAACATTTCAAAAGAGAAGAAATGATCGTCACGTGATCAACAAGGTCATGTGACATCGTAACAAATATGTTTATATATAGCATAGGGGATCCTTTATATGAATTTGGCGCACTAAAGTACATAACTTAAAAATAAAACTAAAAATCAACTTGGCAATGCAATGTTACGTTTTAAATGCATTTTAAGCTCCAGGTAGCCTTAACAGTACTGCGTGTACTTAGTATGTAAGTGAAAGGTGAACTTATATTTTAAAAATTTAGAGAATAAATACAAAGTTAATGTTTTTGATATTTATTGAGTATAATTAACTTTTATTCTCTATTTTCTTTATTATTAGATACTGTGGTTTCATCAATATTCGTTGAGCACCAATTTTCGAGGATTTCGTTGTTGAACAGATCCACGAATTCAAATGCCCATTGAATTACAAAATATGACATTCATTTTTAAAGACAATACCTTTGTCCACGAAATTACGTATCCTCGAAAATGTCTGTTTTACAAAATCCACAAAAATTGATGCCAACGAAATTTGAGGAAACCACAGTATTTACATTTACTTTGTTTGACCCCTATAAAATGCATAATAAAATTATAAGTGATAAATACGCATAACACACAGGACCAAATCACCGAAGTCTGTCTGGCGATCGAATATAGGGACAACGTGATTACAGTTTAAACAAAGCGAAAACTTTATGTTTTTTATACTATTCATTTGTATTTCTTTGTTCCAAAATATAATTTATCATTTTAGATTGAAAAATAAAGGAAACTTTGATCATTGTTATCTGTTTTACTGTGCACTATATTTGTTTGCGTATTTTGGTTTGTGTGCAAACAAACTCTGGCGGGAAACTTGGTTAAAGCTGTTCCAAATGCTGTTCTATCAATTGTAACTTACATGAAGGATAAGGCGTTAATTTTAAATAAAAAAAATCAAAATTGCAGAAAATACAGGGGCTAAAAAATGTAAATATAAGCATTGAATTATCATTTTTTGAAAGATGCAGTCTCATAACTGCAATGGTGTGTGCAAACAAATTTTCATAACGCGCTAACGCGCGTTACTCAATTTGCTTGCACACACCATTGCAGTTATGAGACTGCATCTTTCAAAAAATGATAATTCAATGCTTAATTATATCTTTTAGAATCATGGCTATATATCATTTAGAATTTTATTGAAAAGTATTCTTTTTTTTAATTGGACTTAATTAATAAATAATATTGTATAAATATTAATAATTTATTCCAAAAAATAAAATATTTTCCCATAAATATACACAGAATTTTAATAAAATTCTTATAAAATTGTATTAAACCTCTTAAGAATACATTAAGGTAAATCAGATATTCACATGTAAATCCAGGTAAATCCAGAACAGGAATCGGACTATAATTGCTATCAAAACACTCTTCACACGTATCTTCTATACATAATTATCAAATGTGTGCAAAACAGGAACACAAGGATACAAACAATTTTCTTCTTTGGAGGAGACTTAATTTCATATCACAAGTTAAGAAAAGTGGATAATTCTTAGAATTTTTCTCCCAAGAACACTGGAAAATAAAATAGACTTGGTAAATTATACATTCAAGTAATATTTCAATAAAAAACACATATAGACAAATTACACTCAGTTATGCTACGTTTACATTATGTTCCCGGCAGCCACGGCAGCCCCGTTTGCCCGAAACGTAGTGTGCCGTGAGATTTTGGTTATTTTTCCCTCCATATCCAAGTCTTGACAAGTTCTTTGCGGTTTTCTACGGTCTTCTACGGAATCCGTGATGGACCGTAGGAAGAAGTTGCCGTGGAGTGCCGGAAGCTGCACGGCACACTACGGTTCTGCCACGTATGTCAGCACGTTCCCTCCAGGCCTCTTACGTTCTGATAGGTTTCCTCTCGTTTCTTGCGTTCTTATGAAGTTCTTATACGTTTCTCGCGTTCTGTCAAGTCTTTCTACGTATGAAACATGGACGCCGGGAAACTGTGGATCACCTTTGTACCAGAAGACATCTCTTCACCAAAAACAATCATCGTATCATGACCCTTCGAAAATAAAAAAATCATGAATTCCCAAGACGAAGATTTTATTTTTGCGTGTTTGCTAGGTGCATACAAAAATCACTTCTTCAAAATGAAGTGAACCAGCAGCAGTTACAGAGAGGCAAGGCAGGAGTGCAGCAACAAGGAATGAGACAAATAAGACTGATGAGAAGGCGGAGATCCATATGGATCCTTAATGAAACTTCTATGCAGTGCCCAGCATTTATATGCTTCCCATCAGACCGCGTGCATCGTGTCAGACCGTAGTAGAACGCAACGCACCGAAACCATAAACCGTAACATGCCGGGATGAACCGCATTTGAACGCGAGGAAACGGCAACCATACACTCTAGTTTGCCATGAAGACCGTGATGAAACGTGGCAGAACGTGATAAAACGGACATCAACCGTGAACTAGCCATGACAGAATGCGGACTAAACTCAGCAAAACGTCTCAAAACGGTGAATGGACCGTGAGAAGAATGGAAATATGCATTCTCCCGTCCCACTGCGGACTGCCTTGAAGTTCTGTTACTGTCTATTTCGTGCTGTCGCGTTTTGTTGCGTTTATTCCGTTTTACTAGGACCTACCAAGTTTCACATCTGCAACGTGGTCTCCGTGGCAAATTTTTTGACAGTTTAAAAATCTGGCACGGCATCCACGGCAATCGCGATGAGTTATGTTTGCCCATCCCATTGCCCCACGTTTTCTCACGCCCGTCCCGTTTTTTCCACGGTGGCCTGAAACGTGATTGCCGTGGCTGCCGGGAACAAAGTGTAAACGTAGCATTAAGGTATACTGGTGAAAACTAATTTCAGAAAAATTATAATTAGGTCTTTCCACCTTTCTGTGGAAAGACGTCTTGTAATGCTTCTGTTTATTATTTTTCTATTTCTGGAGATGTTTTGAAACCAGAAGACTTATCAAAAATCTTTATAGTTCATGATACTGGATATTAAAAGTTATTCAGAAAAATGACCCCCCATATTCGATCTTTGACCCCTTTCGAAATTATCGCCCTTTACTCAAGAAATGATTGTTATCACTACTCCTCCAAAACCGTAAACCGTAGAGGTATGAAACCTTCAACAATGTTTACGACTACTTAGGAGGACCTTTCAAATTATTCATTGCGAAAGTATTCGGTGACCCCTTCAATGAGTTATAGCCCCTGAAACTTTTTGAATTTTACAAATAATTAGAAATTTTCAAAACGAGAAGTCGAAGAGACATGGGATTAACTGCATAAGATTCAATGACCTTTGATCTTAAAATTTATACAAGGTCAAGGTCATTTCAAAAACGAGAAATTCAGCATTTTTAATATCTTTTTTGTCTTTTAACATATACAATCTGTCTTTGCATCTTTAATATGCACTTTTAAAACTATTTCAAAAATTTCATACTTGTCCCTTAACATTGACCCCATTAAAAGTTATTTCCCTTTGTGCAAAAAAACCTTGTTATCGCTACTCCTCTGAAAATGTAGACCGTAGATACACCAAACCTTCAATATTGTCTTAAGGGTCTTTAGACCTAACTTCACTGTATTAGTGCGGAAGGATCTGATGACCACTTATATGAGTTATTGCCCTTTAACTTCTCTGTACTTACTATTAAACCTTATAACTTGTATTCTATAAGTCACAGAAGCATGGGGTCAGTGGCATTGTGACCCCTGACATTTGACCTTGAATTTTTTTCTCGGTCAAAGGTCAAGGTCATTAATTTTCTTTCTATGCGTTAAGAGATTTTTGGTTTCTTTTTCATGGAATTTAATTTTTAGGAGTCAATTACAAAATAAATTTGAAATTCAAAGAAGGTGGAAAGACCTCTTATTGTTCTGTGAACAATAAGTCTCCTAGTTATTAATATTTTGCTTAAAGTGTAATATAAACTTCAGAAAAGTATACATGTACCAAGCCAGGTGAAATTAATTATGAAAAGCAAAATGGATGATAAAAGTCAGCCTAAATGATATAGCTGTTTTTGTAAAAGACAGATAGATGGGGGTCATACATGTACATTGTTTTTATCCTATCTGTTTGTCTGTTTTTGTCTATCTGCCTGTTGTCAACTTGAACCTTCGCTAAAGCTTTTGAACAGTGAGAGATAAAGAATTCATATTTGGTATGCACACTCCACTAATTAAGTTCTTTTAAATTAAACCAAGGCCAATGACCTTGTGACATTGACTGTGACCTTTATGCTAAAAATAGCTTTAAAAAAATTGCCATAGCTTTTTATAATAATAATAATAATGATTGGATTTATATAGCGCTTTTCTAGCATAAATGCTACTCAAAGCGCTTTACAATCATTATTACCCCAGCAGACCTTAACAATCCAGAAACTTTCTCAGTGCAAGCTGCCGTTATCAGCGCTAGAGCACTAACATTCTGACGATATCTTTCACTGTCTATAGCCAGGTACTCATTTTACACTTGAGTGGAGTGAGGAAATTCGTGTAAAGTGTCTTTCACAAGGACACAACGTCGGCTTGTCGCGGTCAGGATTCGAACTCTCAACCTTTTGGTTTGGAGTCCGGCACCTTATCCACTAGACTTCCGACGCCACACCATAGGAGATGGTGACACCAAGTTCAATGACCTTGTGACCTTGACTGTGACCTATATGCTAAAAATAGCCTCTTCAAACTTTATTGCTGCAAGGGGTATAGTGTTTCACAAACACATTTTGTTTAGTAATTTTTCCTATCTTGTTTATAGTTTATTAGTTATTTAAAAAAGTCTTGACCATAATAAACTTTATGCTTTAAAATTGATAGTTGGATGATGCTAAGATTGAAATGAGTTCGAAAGTGAGTGCATCAGCAACATATAATCCAGACATATCAGAAGTATCAGAATCAGAATCTGTTGAAGCAGATTCCAAGGAAGACGATGCAATGTCAGGTAAGCCAAATACTAAATTATGGAACCTGGAAACTTTCCTAGTAACACATTATAGCATCTTATTTTTAGTTTTGAAATTTATCAGTCTCACTGGAAACAAAAACAAGAAGTTCTGGTTATGAGAGAAAAACTGCATAAATTTAGTATAGCACTATCCCATAAATATTTTTATGAAAAGAGCATTTGAAATGATTTTAGGACATGTTATTCAGACTGAAATGTCTAAAGTAATTTCAAATATCTTTTCCAAAAAAAATTACTTCCGGTCACGTGATTTATTGTCCTCAAAATGAGAAGTTAATAACATTATGAGATCTCTTAAACTGTAACAGATCAAAACACTAAACTTTAATGAATATTCTACCACGGTTATTGAAAAACTTCAAAGGAGCCGCCGGACATTATTCTCCATTCTACCACGGTTATTGAAAAACTTCAAAGGAGCCGCCGGACATTATTCTCCATTCAAACACAGATAAAAGCTCATTCATGCAGATAAATAGAGGGAAATTGAAGACTTTCTTTGTTGCTGTAGCAACAAAATATTCTAGTTATTATTCTTCGTCTTATTTCCCCCCCCCCCCCCCCCCCCCCCCAATCTTTTCTGCAGGATTTCTCTGAGATGGCTGGATGGATAACCCTAAATTTTTCAGGGCTGATAGACAGTGACTATACCCCGAGATTTTTTAAATTTTTTTTTTAAATTCACATTTGTTGGTAAGATATGTCCGATTTCCGCTTTTTTCAAAAATATTTAATCCTAGTGAAATCTCAGAAACGGTAAGATATCAAGTCACCAAACTTACAGGGATGATAGATCTTGATAAGTAGACAACTCCATTTGGGTAAAAATTGTCCGCTCTCACTTCCAGCCATCACAGGAAGTGATCATAAATATCCAAAATTTCAACTTCTTTTCTTTGACCCTGAGAGTCAGAGGTTCTGGTGTTAGGACGGGGCTCTATTGATTATATAGTGAAAATGCATTAATTCTTTCAAATTGAAAATCTTTTCCTCTGCTCCTAGGTATTAAATAAACTAATTCAGTACATAGTTAAGATGGGAAAGAGTGCTTCTTCCAAAATTGCAAATTTTATAGCCCCAGGGTCAGGGGTTCTGGTGTAAGGGTGGGGCTCTTTTGATCATATAGTAAAAATGCATTAATTCTTTGCAAATCTCTTCTCTGCTTCTGGGTATTAAATAAATTAACTAATTTAAACTATAGCAAGAGTGCCACTTCCAAAATTGTGAATTTTATGGCCCCAGGGTCAGGGGTTCTGGTATAAGTACAGGGCTCTAGTGAAAATGCATTAATTCTTTTAAAATCTTTTCCTTTGCTCCTGGGTTTTATGCCAATGATCCAAGTTTGTATATTTTTGATGAAGAAAGGTGCATCTAGCAAAATGGTTATTTTTTATGCCCCTTGGGTGGGGGGAGGGGGTGGTGGGGGGAGGGGGGGTTGTTACTTAGTCTGCAAATAAATTAATGCTTTGAAATTTGCCTTTTAGAATTAATCAACCATTTTTCAATGATTTTTAGCTCACCTGAGCCGAAGGCTCAAGTGAGCTTTTCTGATCACATTTTGTCCGTCGTCCGTCCGTCTGTCCGTCTGTCTGTCCGTCCGTCCGTCTGTAAACTTTTCACATTTTCGACTTTTTCTCAAGAACCAATGGGCCAATTTTAACCAAACCTGGTACAAAGCATCCTTGGGTAAGGGGGAGTTTAAATTGTTAAAATGAAGGGCTAAGTTTCCTTACAAAGGGAGATAATCAAAAAAAGACAAAATAGGGTGGGGTCACTAAAAAATCTTTTTCTCAAGAACCACTGGGCCAGGAAAGCTGAAACTTATGTGGAAGCATCCTTGGGTAGTGTAGATATTAGATGTTAAAATCATGACCCCCAGGGGTAGGGCGGGGCCACAATAGGGAATCCAAGTTTTACATAGAAATATATAGAACAAATCTTTAAAAATCTTTTTCTCAAGAACCACTGGGCCAGGAAAGCTGAAACTTATGTGGAATCATCCTTGGGTGGTGTAGATATTAAATTGTTAAAAGCATGACCCCCGGGGGTAGGGCGGGGCCACAATAGGGAATCCAAGTTTTACATAGAAATATTTAGAACAAATCTTTAAAATTTTTTTCTCAAGAACCACTGGGCTAAGAAAGCTGAAACTTATGTGGAAGCATCCTTGGGTAGTGTAGATATTAAATTGTTAAAATCATGACCCCCAGGGGTAGGGCGGGGCCACAATAGGGAATCCAAGTTTTACATAGAAATATATAGAACAAATCTTTAAAAATCTTTTTCTCAAGAACCACTGGGCCAGGAAAGCTGAAACTTATGTGGAAGCATCCTTGGGTAGTGTAGATATTAAATTGTTAAAATCATGACCCCCTGGAGTAGGGCGGGACCACAATAGGGAATCAAAGTTTTACCGAGAAATATATAGAATAAATCTTTAAAAAATTTTTTTCTCAAGAACCACTGGGCCAGGAAAGCTGAAACTTATGTGGAAGCATCCTTGGGTAGTGTAGATTCGAAAGTTTTTAAATAAAAAAGGGAAGGGGGTTGTTGGGCATGATTGGTATAGCAAGAGGGGGAATCTGGTAAAGATCTGCATCACCCAAGTTACTCAGGTGAGCGATGTGGCCCATGGGCCTCTTGTTATTCTAAAATTTTCAATGATTTTTTTTAAGTTAATACTTCAAAAAACTTTACATTTTAAAATAAACCAGCACGGAGTTCCAAGGAGCAAATGCACCTTGTCCCATGGTTGACATTCCATGTTGCACCCTGTGCCAGCTTAGTGCAGAAAATTAAGCATCAAAGACATTAACACTTTTCAAAGTCCACGTAAAAGCATGGACTGTTGGTCCACCGTGGCCGGTGTTTTCCAGCAGAAACTCTGAGCTGTACTGTGTACTTGGTTATATTAGGTGGAACATTTGTGCAAAAACAATGCCCTGTTGTCATGTATCACAATTGAAGCAAACAATACATGAGTGTCGTCCTCTGGAATTCGACATGTACCCGGGGTGGTTTTTATGTCACACAATCAATATCTATAGGAGGCAGGGCTATCGATCAGCGTCATTGTTGACATCCCTCTCTATCCCTTTCTTTCGCTCTCCAAACATCTGAATATGTGATTAACATATTTCAGCAATGTCAACATAAAATTTTTCTAAAATGTGATGACACGCAAAATTAAAACAATATTTTATTACTTTTGCTAAATTCTGGAAACGGAAACAAAACACGCTTTAAGACATTTTTTTGATTGAGATCAGGTGAAAGATTACAATGTAACTGTTTTCACAAGTTCACTCTGATGAATTGTAATGTTTAACACGTCAATTTTTGACATAACAATGGAAGCGAGAAGTTTGTTTTGAAGAAGTTTTTTGTTAAATTAAGTATGAGTACCGTTCACATTTTTCGGCTCTTCTCCTTTTGATATAACATTTTTTTGTTAAATATACAACTACAGTTTTCATAAGAACAGCCAACAAACATGTGCCGACTAGGTATTCAGATGATGAAAAATTGTGTGACCCTTATTATCTATCAATATTCAAAAAACCTTCAGGCACCATGCCTTTGATTTTTATTTATTTTACCTCAAAAAGAGGAAAAATATGAACATTTTATGAAACATAAATTTAAAGCATTTTTCTAGCCAGTTTAGTCCATCCATTCTTTGGTATAAGAATAATTTATTAGCTTTACATTTCATATTCCTACAGCTCCTGAGATGATTTCAAAGAAGAATGCTGGTGATAAAAAAAGAGAACCAAAAAGACCCTGCCCATTTTGCATGAAGTTACAGTCCTCATTAACAAAACATCTACAAAGATGTCACAAAAACGAAGAAGAAGTTGAAGCTGCAATGAACCTGCCAGGAATAGAAAGAAAACGAGCCTTTAGAAACATGAAAAGACAAGGAATATTTAAATATAATGCAGCAATAATGAAGTCAAAGGATGTAAATGAGGAAACTATGAAAGAATTGTTGAAAGAGAGGGACCAAGGCACTGACAAGGAACTGGCAATGTGTTCACTCTGTAAGGCATTTATCAGCAAGAAACTCATGTACAAACATGTCAGAAATTGTAAAGTTGCAGAGGAAACTACCTCACCTCCTACTAGGGTAGTATTGAAGGTACTTCAAGAACAAAATTATCCACAGGATTATATTCAGTTTTTGGAAACATTTCATAAAGATAAGCCCGGAGATATTATAAGAAATGATGAATTCCTCAAAGAATATGGACATGTTGAGTTCCAAAACTGGAAGGGATCAGCTATCAAAGCAACAGAAAAGCTGAATACCTTAAGATCAAAATTAAGAAGATTAGCCAGGCTTTTCATTCATTTCAAAAGTATGGCTTCAGAACGTGGAATTGAAATAAAGAGTTGTGATGAAATGTTTAAAATTGATACTGCTCCAATGTTTTCTTCTGCTGTGCAGAAAATGACAAATTTTGACTCTGAAGAAGAAGACTTCAAATGTGGATTGAAGGTGGGATTAAAATCATTGATAATTGAAGTATGTGACACATTGTATGCTACATATTTAATAAAAAGAAAAGAACTTTTGGCGAAGGAAGTGAAAGAGTTTCAGGAAGTTTTGAAAGTGTATTGGAGATATTTTTTCATCTCAGCTAGAGAGATTCTGATGCAAAAAAGGCACAGCCAGTCCAGAGCTCCTACACGCCTCCCTACTATTGAAGAATACCAGCATTTGCGAGATTTTACAAAAGCAGAAATTGCAAAAATAGTAGAGGATATTTATACACCAGTTAATCAGGGGATATTCTGTAAACTGAGGAATTTGATATCCTGTAGGCTCACATTATTTAATGCACGAAGAGGAGGAGAAGCCACAAGATTAACGTTATCAGAGTTAGAAGATGCATTCAGCCATAAATGGGAAGATAAAAATTTTTTCAAGAAAATTGATGAAGACATAGAAAACCTAATGTGCAGAATAGTATGCGCATATCTTCATTCCTCCAAAAAATTAGAACTTGTTTCAGTTATTATACCAGACGACTGCTGGAAAGGTCTGGAGATGCTAAAGGATGATGAAAATAGAAAGCTGGCAGGTGTCCATCCCCAGAACAAATTTGTTTTTGCCAATACCGAAAACTCGTTAGGTCATGTCAATGGATGGCAGAGTGTTCATAACACCTGTAAAAAGGCTGAAATGAAAAAAAATATTACTGCCACTGATATGAGACATTACATGGCTACATATTATGAATCCCTAGATATAGCACCTGAAGAACGGGACTTTTTCATAAGGAAACACTTGGGCCATTCAAGATTTATTAATGAAAATATTTACCAGTGCCCACCAGCTTTAAGGTTAATGGGAACTGCTGGGAAAATCCTGTTAACATTGGATTCTCATGAAGGTATGGATTCTTTTTATAAAATATTGTGATAAGTACAGTCGTTTGGCCAGTTCCGAATAAGAAATCGATTCGGCTGAGCTATAAATATACTAGACATTATTTCAAAATTTAAGTGTTTTGTCAAAGTAGTTTGATGACTTGTAGAATTAAATATTGTTTCATAAAAGTTCATCCTGCCTTCTAAAAAAATTATTTCGAAATATACCATAGGTGTCCTTTTTACCAGTTACGAATAAGCCGACGAGTTCTGGATAGCCCAGAGATTCTTATTCAATTCAACCCTAAATTAAAAAATATATATCCCAGATGTTATCCATTGCCATGCCTAAGGAAAGTTAAATTAATTGCTTTAGTTACCAGTAAATTTGTATTTGTATTTCCAAAGGTTGAATATTTCACTGATATGGAGACGTCACCATTGCCGGTGAAGGGCTGCAAATTTAGGCCTATGCTCGGCACTCAGGGCCTTTGAGCAGGGAGGGATCTTTATCGTGCCACACCTGCTGTGACACGGGGCCTCGGTTTATACGGTCTCATCCGAAGGACCGCCCCATTTAGTCACCTTTTATGACAAGCAAGGGGGTACTGAGGACCTATTCTAACCCGGATCCCCACGGGGTGAAGTTGAAATATGACATTAAATATTAAAAGAATACCAAAACAACTGCCCCCTTTTCACAATTTTCTAAGCCCCCAGGTGGTTAATAGGGATTAGAATAATTGGTTCATGGGAAAATTTTCTTTGGTCTCAAAAACTAATTAAAGTTTACTTTTCAAAGAAAAAAATTATATCATCTTTAGTACATCAAAGCCATGATTCAACATATACATATAGATGCAACCTAAGGTACTGTGATTCAAGTTGGTTCAAATTAGCTTCTATAGACATAGAACAGAGCTGCAATTGGCAAAGTTTTACAAAGGGTTTTATAGGTAAAAATCGTTAAAACTTCTCTTCCCAAGAACAAGAAAGTTATGATGATTCATCTTGTGATTTAAAAAAGTAGCAGGCTGAAGGTGACTTTTAGAGAGCCATCAGGCCAATTACTTGTATTCTTTATCAGTTCTTATTTTACGCCACAGCTCACCATGTCATCTTTTATATAGTGTCTCATTTAAATGTCTCCCCCCATTTGCATGTAATAGAGAAACCGCACTCTGTTCAAATGAAAATGTTCTGAAATTTGTATGTGCGATAAATGTTGAAAATTGGCTTATATTTCTTAATACTCAAAGTCATTAATATTGATTTAACAACATCTCAATTAGAAATACATGCACTATGTTATGCACAATGAAAATAAAAATAATGCCATATATCCTCAAGTATATTCTGTGAAATAAGGGCGAAAAAATTAAGGGACCAGGCTACTATACTTAAGTGGAAAACTACTTTATGAATGAAATTAAAACCTGTCATGATATGTTATAGGCAAAAACACAGATGAAAACACTGAACTGGGATCAAATAAGGTGGATGGTGAATTAGACAGTGAAGGAGAAAACTTTTTGGAGGAAAAAGGTAAAAAAAAAATCATTTGCAAAGTGTTCATCACATCATGTTTATTTCCCTTTGAAATGATTAATCATTATGTATTTTTAGCTCATAAGTGATTTTTTCTGATCACATTTTGTCCTTTGCCCTTTTTCTGTAAAAGATTTTTTTTTTACCAAAATAAGTTTTTAGGGCATTGTTTTGCATTGATCTTTATTCATTAAAAATTGCATTCCATATATTTTTTTAAAAATTTTGATTGATAAATGATATTGATATTTATTTTAGCACTTGTATTTGATTATTAATTTATTTCAACTTTTCACATTTTCCACTTCTTCTCAAGAACCACTGGGCCAATTTTGACAAAATCTTGTACTAAGCATACTTGGGTGAAGGGGGATGAAAATTATTAAAATGAAGGGGCAAGTCCCCACACAAGCGGAGATAATAAAAATAAAACAAACAAAATTAAGGTGGGTTCATTAAAAATTTTCACAAGAACCACTAGGCCAGAAAAGCTGAAATTTATATGGAAGCAACAAGTGATAGTGTCAATTCTAAATTGTTCAAATCATGACCCCCGGGGGTTGGGCAGGGCCACAATGGGAAATCCAAGTTTTCCATATGAGAAATGTATAGGAAAAATCTTTAATAATCTGCTTCTCAAGAACCACTGGACCAGAAAAGCTGCAAATTATGTGAAAGCATCCTGGGATAGTATAGATTCTAAATTATTCAAATCATGACCCCTGGGGATAGGGTGGGGCCACAATAGGAAATCCAATTTTTATATTGAAATATATAGGAAAAATCTTCTCAAGAACCACTGTTTAGCTCACCTCGACAAAGTCAAGATGAGCTTATGCTATACCAGCGGAGTTGGCGTCGGTGTCGGCGTTAGCGTCGGCGTCCCGGGTTAAAGTTTTAGGAGCAAGTCCATTCCTAAGTAACTATAAGCCCTATCTGAACCAAACTTGCATGGATGTTGCATCTAGGGGTGTACACTACCAGACTTGCTTCAGATGCTGAATCTGACCTACATTTTCCAGATGATGGACCAGGTTAAAGTTTTTGGAGCAGGTTAAAGTTTTTGGAGCAGGTTCATTCCCAAGGAATTATAAGTCCTACCCAGACCAAACTTGCATGGATGATGCATCTTGGAATGAACACTACCAGACTTGCTTTGGATGCTGGATCTGACCTACATTTTCCAGATGAGTGACCAGGTTAAAGTTTTTGGAGCAGGTCTATTCCCAAGGAACTATATAAGCCCTACTTGAACCAAACTTGCATGGATGATGCATCTAGGGATGTACAATACCAGACTTGCTTCAGATGCTGAATCTGACCTACATTGTCTAGATGAGTGACCAGGTTAAAGTTTTTGGAGCAGGTCCACTCCACAGGAACTATAAGCCCTATTTGGACCAAACTTGCATGGATGATGTATCTAGGGATGGAGACTACCAGACTTGCTTCGGATGCTGGATCTGACCTACATTTTCATTCCCAAGTAACTATAAGCCCTACCTGAAGCAAACTTGCATGAATGATGTATCTAGGGATGTACACAACCAGACTAGTTTCAGATGCTGGATCTGACCTACATTTTCATTCCCAAGGAACTATGAGCTCTATTTGGACCAAACTTGCATGGATGATGTATCTAGGGATGGAGACTACCAGACTTGCTTCGGATGCTGGATCTGACCTACATTTTCATTCCCAAGTAACTATAAGCCCTACCTGAAGCAAACTTGCTTGGATGATGCATCTAGGAATGGATACTACCAGACTTGCTTTGGATGCTGGATCTGACCTACATTTTCATTCCCAAGTAACTATACGCCCTACCTGAACAAAACTTGCATGGATGATGCATCTAGGGATGGACACTTCCAGACTTGCTTCGGATGCTGGATCTGACCTACATTTTCATTTCCAAGTAACTATAAGCCCTACCTGAACTAAACTTGCATGGATGATGCATCTAGGGATGGACACTTCCAGACTTGCTTCGGATGCTGGATCTGACCTAATTTCCATTCCAAAGTAACTATGAGCCCTGTTTGGACCAATCATGCATAGATGATGTATCTAGGGATGGTCACTACCAGACTTGCTTCGGATGCTGGATCTGACTTACATTTTCATTCCCAAGTATCTATAAGCCCTACCTGAAGCAAACTTACATGGATAATGTATCTAGGGATGGACACTAACAGACTTGCTTCGGATGCTGGATCTGACCTACATTTTTCATTCCCAAGTAACTGTAAGCCCTAGCTAAACCAAACTTGCATGGATGATGTATCTTAGGATGGACACTACCAGGCTTGCTTCGGATGCTGGATCTGACCTACTTTTTCATCTCAAAGTAACTACAAGCCCTAGCTAAACCAAACTTGCATGGATGATGCATCTTAGGATGGACACTATCAGACTTGCTTGGGATGCTGGATCCGACCTATATTTTCCATACAAGAGACCAGGTTAAAGTTTTAGGAACAGATCAATCCGAATGAATTTGAAGTCTTTGATATCTGCAGTTTAAACAGTTATGAATATTTGTTTACACAATACATGTTTTTCACACTACATGCATAGAAATGTGTATATACCATGTAAAGGGTTCAGCACAACTTGCAAGAATATTGTTGTTGGGATGAATACTTAATATTAAGAAAATATGATATAGGATTTGCATTACTTAAACTGATAACATTCGTCGAGGTGAGCTTCGTAATCTTTGATTACCTATGTTTGAAGAAAAAAATATCATCTAAAGTACAACAAAGCCATGATTCAACATATAAATATAGAAGCAACCTAAGGTACTAGCTATGATTCAAGTTGGTTCAAATTAGACCCATAAGACAGAGAACATAGCTGCAATCTGCAAAGTTTTACAAAGGGTTTTATAGGTAAAAATCATTAAAACTTCTCTTCCCCAAAACAAGAAAGTTATGATGAATCATTTTGTAATTGTGGAAGCATCCTCAGGTGCTGTAGATTCAAGTTCAAGTTAAACTCCAAATGTATAGGTAGTGGCAACAAGATTATAATTATAATGTGATTTAAATAAGTAGCAGGCAGAAGGTGACTTATAGACTGTTACGAAAAGCACTGACTTTTACGATTGACTGTTTACTTGTACATTTAAACATTCACATCTACGGAGGTACAGAATTGATAATGGAAAAGGAAATATTTCTAGAGGTCATGGTAATGGTGTTAGGGGAACTTGACACATTTCATAGTGCAACAATTTCATCAAAACCGGATATTACGATGTCAAACCAAATCCTAAACCGCAGCATTGTTCGAGGTTTTCCGGAAAAATGCTCAAATTTTACATAATCAATTGTGCTTTTCACATAGAGCACACTCGTTACCGCAAAATATTGAAACAGAAAAATAATCATAACTGATCGAGAAGTAATTTGTAATGAAAATATTTTGCGGTAAGGAGTGTGCTCATGCTGAAAAAAAATGAAATAAAATGTCAATGCTTGTAAAAAAGCAGTGATCAAGAACCACCATATTTGTCTTTGTCTATTACCAAAACTTTAAAGGATCAATTAAAAATGTGTATAATATTGATTATGAGAGTGGATAGACACTCATATGCAAGTGAGAAAATGTTAACTGAGGCACCCACAGACACGTCTGAGTGCTGGAAAAATATGATGGATACAGTCTAAAAAGATGTTTTTAAAAGATGCCGATTTCTCGATGCTTTTTTCAAATTTAGATTGATTTACAGGCAAGCACAACTTTCTAACTTATTATATGTATGAATACCGCAAATACATACTTTCACGTCAATTACCGTATATACTCCCCTATAAGTTGGTATTTTGGGAGCTAAATATTGGTCTAAAACTCTATGTCCGACTTATAGGCGAGTCATAAAAAGATATTTTTCTGGGACCTAAAAGGTAGTATCTTATTTGCATTTCTGACGATTATCAAAGAAATTGTCTGAATATATAAGATAATGTATTCTTAGATTATATATATAAAGTGAAAGTATATACATTTTTTAATAATTTTATTTGCATTTTAAGTGACATTACCTTTTTGTTTGATATATAAAGATTAGATATCAGTGTCATTTCGAAAAATATTAATTGAAACCAGGTTAAAATATTAGTGGATGTACTTGAAATTGTCACCAGATTTTGGCAAAAGCGTTGCACCGACTTACGAGTATAAGTGGGTCAATAGCAAATCCCACCAAAATGACTTCAAAAAATTACAATCGATTTGGAGCTTTTTTAATTGAATCGGAATACCGGTTTTTACTTTTTAGGTCACCTCAGAAAACTCAGGTGACCTATTGCTATCCGTTTTCGTCCGTCGTCGTGCGTCGTCCGTCGTGTGTTAACATTTGAACATTTTCAGCTTCTCCTCAGCAACCACTGAACCAATTTCAGCCAAATTTTGCACAAAGCATCTATGGGTGAAGGGGAACAAAAATTGTGAATTTCATGATCCCTGCCCCCCTGGGGCCTGAGGGATGGGGCCAAAACCACTAAAATTAAGGTTATCTTTAAAAATCTTCTTTACTCCTGGACATCAAGCAGTCAAACTATTTGCATGATTGTAATCAGCATTGAGTCCTCTACCAAAATTGTGAAATTCATGGCCCTGGGGTCAGGGGTTCTAGTGCTAGGGCAGGGCTAAATAAGTATACAGTGAAAATGCATTATTTCTTTGAAAATTTTCTTTTCTGCTCCTGGGTATTAAATAAACCAACTAAGTACATAGTTAAATTGTGAATTTTATGGCCTCAGGGTCAAGGGTTCTGGTGTTGGGGGGGGGGGGGGGTATGCTCTATTGATTATATAGTGAAAATACATGAATTCTTTGAAAATCTTCTTCTCTGCTCCTAGGTATTAAATAAACTAACTAAGTGCATAGTTATGATGAGCAAGAGTGCCTCTACCAAAATTGTGAATTTTATGGCCCCAGGGTCAAGGGTTCTGGTGTTGGGGGGGGGGCTCTATTGATTAGATAGT